ACGCTGTTACCTTCCCGCCGAAGTGGTACCTATTTATCTACTTGCAATTTCTTGCTTTCGAACTGCTAGGTTGGCAGGAGCTGGAACTAGAGACGGAAGCTCACTCTGTCATGCGGCAACTCGGGTCTCGAACTGCTGAACTACTGACCTTCCACAGCCTGCAGTTCAGCCTCTTAACCACTTGAGCCACCACAGCACTTCTTGTTTAGGTGGCATCTAAAGAAGTGACCTCTGTTTTATGAAAGTTCAATTAAGGTTAAGTCTTACGGTGCCACTGGACTTCTGGTTTGTTTTCCTCCCCTGGTCTGAAGGCACACAATAGCTCATCTGGTTTTGCCTGGATCGAGCCCACCTGAGAACCCCACGTCTTCTGCCTTCTATCAGAAACGATAGTTGATAGGTTTTATTCACGGTCATTGACCAACACATAAGCTTAGCTATAAAAACACCATAAAAACCATAATGATTAAAATTAATAAAACTAAATCTTAATTCTCTTTTTGAGCTACTATAGATTTTCTCATACTTAGGGCAAGCCATCCAAACCTAGCCACCCGATGAGTAAGTTCTGCCTGCCTATCCGATAGGAAATTTCTTAAAAGGCAGATTCTTTGCCTGCGAGAGAGAGGGAGTGTCTAGAAGAAATGAGTTACCTGAAGGTCTTCTAGCATCGCGTCTAGTAACAGCCGACATGCCTTCTTCTGGGCCTTCTCCACAGCAGCATTCAGCGAGGATGGAATCCGGCTGGGCTCTGAAGGCGATGGTCCTTCGGTACAGAGGGCTGAGATGGAAGAGCTGCCCACGGAGAAAGAGAGGAAGAGTTGGAGTGGGGGCTTGCAGCAGACGGCAAGCAAGAGGGGTCTGGGGGCAGGACGGCAGCCACGGAAGGAGAAGTGCCTCTCATCGTTTTGGAGAGTACCTGAGAGCCAGGCAGTTGTTGATGGCTGACAGCAAGTAAGGGGCATAGCACTTGGACGCGGCCGGCTCTCGTTGGTGTTCTCTGTCAAATTCCACCAGGGCCTCAGTCAGGCTGCGGAGAAGCACAGCAGTTACCAGGGCATCTTGTTCACCTAGTTAGACCTCTAGCGTGTCATGACTCAGTTCATCACATGGTAGGGTGGCCAGCTTCAGTTTGGGAAGTTCCTGGAGTAAGTTCATCACATGGTAGGGTGACCAGCTTCAGTTTGGGAAGTTCCTGGAGGATTGAGAGTGGTGCCTGGGAAGGGGAGGAAGCTCAGCACAGACGTAATGCCACTCTAGGACTTCCATTTCTCCTAGACTCCGTGGTATACCCCCAACGTTGCCATTTCCTCCAGGGGAATGGGTATTTGTAGTCTGGAGATCAGTTGCCATTCTGGGAGAACTCCAGGCCCCACCTGGAGGTTGGTAACCCTAACACCCAGTGACGGGGCCATGGGATCGAGTCATGGCAGTCTCCCACCCAGCGTGCAGCTCAGTTTCCAATTTACAGCTCTGCTTCGAAGCTGCCACTGACTAGACTGGAGAGTGGCGGACTGGACACAGATCAAGAGTTGTGAGCAGAGAGCTTGCTGGAGGTGGGGCGTGGCCCGGCGGTCAAGCATCTGCTTTGCATGCAGAAGGTCTCGGGTTCAATCTCCAGCTTCTACAGTTAGATGAATCACCATTCTAAGCCAATGGAACTTTGCTTATTAGGATTCCACTGTAAATAGGTTTACCTAGGGATGCCAGCCGCCAGGTGGGACCTGGGGATCCCCTGGAATTATACATCATCTCCAAACTACAAAGAACAGTTTCCCCGGAGAAAATGGAGGAGGAGGAGGAGAAGAAGAATTGCTTTTATACTCTGCCCTTCATTACCCGAAGGACTCTTGGAGCAGCTTACAGTCACCTTTCCTTCCTCTCCCCACAACAGACACCCTGTGAGGTAGGTGGGGCTGAGAGAGCTCTGGCAGAACTGTGACTGACGCAAGGCCTCCCAGCTGGCTTCATGTTGGAGGAGGAGCGGAGAATCAAACCCAGTTCTCCAGATTAGAGTCCTCCCACTCTTAACCGCTACACCGAACTGGCTGGCGGGTGGACTCTGTGGCATTGTACCCCAGTGAGGTCCCTCTCCTCCCCAGGCTCCTTCCGCAGTCTCCCAAGAGTCTCCCAGTCTGGATCCCGCCAGGAGCCGGGTGGGGTGGGGTTACCAGGAGCCTAAAAAGAAAGAAGACACTAGATCATCAACAGCCAATTAGAGTAGGAATGGGGTTCTGACCAACTCTGGGCTGGGAAATTCCTGGAGATTTGGGGATGGAGCCTGGGAAAGGGGGGGGGACCTTGGTGGGGTGTAATGCCATAGAGTCTACTCTCCAAGGCAGTCATTTGTTCCAAGGCAACTGGTCTCTGTCATCAGGAAATAAGTCGTGATTCCAGGAGATCTCCATGCCCTACCTGGGGGCTGGGTAGGCTTGCCAAGTCCCCCCCAGGGGAGGCCCATTCCCTGCCGCCGGCGGATCGGGCCCCGGGGGGGAACCCCACCCCAACGTGCACGTCACCCGGAAGTGACGCGACCACGCCGGGCACACTGGGGGCGGGGCCACGGTCATCCGAGGGAAAACTCTATGGTTTTCCCTCGG